CTTCGGCCTTGGCTTTTGCTATTGCGTCGGCTGGTTGATCGTGGTCCTTGCTTTGTTTTCCCCAAGCTCTGGCCGGAACTGGGCAAGCGAGCCCTTGCATACCTCGATGACGTCACCATCCTCGCGAGCCCCCAAAGGGTTGGTGCTCTCACCTCGCGCATCATACACATTTGACTTTGAACGTCTGTAAGACTGCCCGGGGCTGGGCTCGCCCCCTATGGCCTGCAAGCATTGTCGGCCACCTCGCGCGTCTGGTTCGGTGACCATGTCCTTGAAAACGGGCTATGGAGATTCGTGTTGCTCGGAGCCCCTTTCGGCACGCTTGAGTTCGTGCAAGCACACCTGCAACAAACCCTAGACCGTCAATCCGCTCTCCTCGCCCAGCTGCCGAACTTGCCAGACACGCAAGTCGCTTGGTTACTGTTGTTTCGCTGCGCCAGCCCTCGGGCACAGTATGCCCACCGCACACTCCACACTCCACACCACCAGCACACTCGAGTATGCAACCCGCCATAATGCCGCCATACAACAGTGCCTCGACACAATCTTGTTTGTTGACGCTGCAGAGGGCTTGCCCGGGCCAATGGTTGCTCGCGCGCAGCTGGCCCTGCGACATGGGGGTGTCAGTCTGCGAAGCGCTGCTCGGCATTTGGGCATCACAAGCGGATGCCATTCCTGTCTTAGAGCAACGGGGCATCTCCTTTGTCCATGGCCTTGATCACAGCCTTCAGAACGCCGTCGTGTTGCCCGCTGCACTTGCGGTGCTTTAGGGGGTTGGATTTGAGCCCCTGTCCTGGCACGACCTGTCGGGACAGGCTGCGCCGCTAGTCCCCGAAGGTGAGCCACCACCCGCGGCTGGCAGCGTGCTGCTTCCCAGGCTGTTGACAGTTTCTGCCACCGGTGATTCCCCGCCGTGACAGAGGCAGTACAGAGGCATCACTGCAGGTGCAGCTTTAAGGGTGGCCGAACGTGCCAGGCACGGACTTACCAAAAAAACAACAAACTTTACCCAGAACTCGCACAAAGCAATCGGTGCCGATTGGTTGTCCTCGGCATTGAGGTTGGGGGGCGGTGGTCCCAAGGGCTGCTGAGTTCGTTCCGACCGCTGCTGGCCCGAAGCCCGCGCTGCCCCCGTCGCCACACGGGCAGCACTGTCTGGCACTGCCAATGTCGACGGAGAGGCTCCCCTCCTGAGCGATGTCCTCGCTGACCCCGCTGAGCCGCCACCCATTGCCAGTCGCACCCTTGAACGTGGATTCTTGCGCCTCTGCAGGCTTCGACTTCACCTTCCACTGCGGTCGGGTGTCGCCTTGGACTCGGGCCTCCAGCACTGGGACCGCGTCGTGGATTGTCGAAAAAAGTGTGCGAGAAAAAGCCATCCAGACCAGACTTTGTGGTGACAATCACGTCCTACTGCAAACGCAGCAAGTCCAACTTCATGGAGAACTGAGAGTTACCCTTCTTGACAGTCTTCACAAGGGGGGATTCGATTTCAGACGGCGCTTCGGTTTGTGCTTTGGTGGCAGCTCCAGTGAAGCTGCGCGCGCCCTGGCCAACTGCCACCGTCTAACTGTCGTGCGAATCCGACGTCCACTCGCAGCCCCGAAGGAGAGACCGCCGGAGTTTTGGCAATGATGTGCCCGGGGACGGAGCGAGTACCAGCGGCGGACGCAGCAAGGCGGAAGCGGCGAGAGACTTACCCGGAGTTTCTCGCCGCCCGCCGCTGCAAGTTGGTTGTCGTCGGGCTTCAAGTTGGGGGGCGGATTGAGGCGGAAACTGTCACGTTCCCGCGCCGCTTCGCCGTGGCTGGAGCGAGAGCGGCACCCGCGCGACGGCGGCCAGCCGTTCATCGGGCCAGCATCCACAGATGGACACGGATGCTGGTAGTGGCGGCCCAGCGGGTGAGGCCCAGCCGGGTGCAGACGTGCACCCCGGTCGAGCTGTTGAGGGCGCCGCCCGCCGCAAACGCCACCAGACCTACCCCGAGCTCGTGCGCCGAGGCGGCCACCTGGCTCCGGTTGCTCGCCAGGCAGCGTGCCTCGGAAGTGCAGGCAGCCATGCGGCCGCCAGCGCGTGCGGCGTGGGTTGCCCGTTGGTCCGGGTTGTTCGCCCTCGCTGCACAGCGCGCCCTCGCCGCATCCCTGTTGGAGCTCCCACTTGCTGGAGAGTGCAACGTCGCCGGAGAAGCGCCCGAGCTGCACGAGACCCTCGCCGACGTGCGCTGGCAGCTTCCGGTAGTCGGCAGCCACCAGGGGCCCCACTAGGGGCCGTCGTGCCCTGGCAGGAGCGCCTCCGTAGGACCAGGTAGGCACTGACGAACGAAAAAGGTGCGCCTAACACCAAAAAATCCTTTCTTCCTGGAGCCATCGTCTCATCAAGGGACTCCAAAAGCGATGCCGACCTCACTACAGGACCATCCTGCCGCTCAAGGATTGGTTGTCTCATTTGGGCGGGCTACCTTCAATAAGGTCAGCCTGGCAATCACCCATTGCCTCTGGAACATTTGGTGTCGGGTGCTCACACGCTGTCGCTTGTCTCTGTTTGTATCATTCAGCCGCCTCTGCAAACACCCGCTCGAGATAGGTTCCGAAGCCTCGATGGATAGCACTTAGCACGGTCGGCCTTCCATTGGATGACCTTCATGCCGATTTCCCAGCATACGCCCGTTTGAATATCCAGCTTTGGACCATCCTTACGGAGCTTGAAAGCCGCAACTGAAACTTTCTCAGATGCTGCTTGCGTGCTCTTCCATGGTCTTTGGGGCTGTCCTAAGCTCGAGGGTATTGGTGAGCTCAAACCTGGAGGCTGTGCCCACGACGAAATTGAGCGTCCCACCACTCATCAGCAACAACATCTGCCGCATCGGCTTCATGTTGGACTTTGGGAGTGTCAATGATGTGATGAACAGGTCCTGCATTCTCAATCAGAGGACTTTGAGCCTGCTCGGTCTTTCGAGATGCCATGAGCTGTTGAGCAGCCTTGTCATGGCTGAGGTGCTTCATCCACGGCCCTGTTTGTCTCCTGCTCTCCACATGCCTTTGAGGTTTGGTGGTGGTTTCCAACTTATCAAGAGCGCTGTTCAGCCGCGCGTCGCGGTCAACAGTAGCATGCACATGGGATTCAAGATGCTCCATCGTTTCGTCAAGATCCCGTCGTACATCCTGCATCTGCAGACGTATTTGAGCGCCATCACATCTAGTCAAGACGTCTGCCTGACATAATGCATCGACGGGCTCCCTTTGTTCCGGCTTCATCGACCATTGCTTTTGCGCGCTCTGTTCGGCTGCGTCCACCCGCGCCCACTCTGACTGCACGTCTTTAATTTGAACGAACATGTTCATCTTCGTGTTCATGTGAGCTTCAAACGTGGCTTGCGCTCTGCTTAACTGCGCTTCCAACTGATCCACACGATTCATAAGCTCCTTGAACTGGCCATCGGCCCGCTTCCACAAAGTCTCAGCGCCTTGCATGGATTGGCCCACTGCTCCCAGATGCTGTCGAGTAGCATCTGCCTCCCCATGATAAGAGAAACACATGCTGCTAAGTCCGAAGCTGCATGTCACTGTTCAAATCATCAAGCCTCTTCTGCACCTCCTCCAAAGACGATAAGGCCGACAGAGCAATCGTTCTGTCTGATATCAACACATGCAGAAACTCTTTCTGCTGTAGCCTTAGCACTGATGGAAGCGACGTTTCCGTTGCGAATTGCAAATGAAAGCGCTGATCAATGGCTGATTTTGCATGCGCTGCAGCGCTTGGGCTCATAACCTGTGCTTGCGCACTGCTAGCTGCAACGATGCCGCAAGCTGGTGATTGCTGTTGTTGCTGCAGCATAGGGTCCATCACCAGAATCACTAAGCATCACCGCTACTTTTGATCACCATCCGCAGATCAAGCTCCCAAGAATGCTGACAAGTTCGGGACGAAGGTACCAGGGTACCGGGTGGCCTGGGGACCACCAACACAACCCCAAGCCCAACTCTAAATGGAACAGACATGAACAGACTCGGTGACTAGTTTTTGCAGAAAAACTACGGAATTCAGTGTTGTCTCCTATTTAGAGCTCAACAACGATCCAGGGACCACCGCCGCACGACGATAGATTGCCTCGTGCGCGATGGGGCATCCGAATCCTTCCAAGCCTATCAGGAAGCGGCACGCTTGTTTGAACAAACATTAGAGTACAAGAAGAGATACTTCAGTTTATCCCAGTCGCTACGAGCAGTGGAGGCAGCCGGCGGCAAACGTTTTGTGGTAGGGTAAAGGCCCGCCTGGCTTTCGTATCAGGAAGGCTAAAGCATCTGAGGCAATGCTTCGGGAAACCACAGATGCCAGAACTTACAGAGCTCTTGGGCAAGTACTGTGGTGGCTCCAAGCGCCGATCCGGCGAAACAATGAACGCAGACATTTCCAAGGAAATGTGAGGTGTACGTCCGGTCCCAAAAGGCCGTGGCACCTGCATGATGCAAGCCACGAACTCTATTGTGCTCTTTGACTGAACCCTGCAATGCGGGCTTGTCCTAGCTAGGTGGGAGGCAAATAGTTGGTTGCCAGCTCCACCCACATCTTTCATAACCGGTTATGACGCTTATAACCGTTTGTGGGCATCTTTTTATCGGTGCTACATATTCGTTTCATGCGTGTGTTTTGCGAACAGTGGGTCGCTTCCGCCGAGCTCCTCAGCCATGTTAATTGGAGGTGCAGCATCAGCAAACTAGTGAGCCATTTCTCTTATTCTGCATGCCGTTCGCAACGGATAGCCGCTCACCCCTTAATCTGAAACGGCCGCAAGCACAGTTCAGAGGCAAATGCGTATTCGTCGGGGCAAAGCGCAGAAAGGAGCAAACAACAATCACGTCAGAATGGTACTAGTATACGGCACAATAAATAGCCAGCAGAATGGCCCATGATGTTTGGGTCACCCGCGAGGCCTCGAGCTGGAAAAGCGCGCTTCTTGTAGCCCCTGAGCCCCGGTCCGTGTCGACTGCAGAGGCCTTTTCATGATCTGCAGGACCGACCTGATCCAGAGGTTGGAAGTCGTTGTGTGTCGAATGCTTTTTTTGCTGCCCACTGAGAAAGCCAGGTCAAAATCGTCAGCCAGAGCCTCAAGCACACTGTGTCCCTATGTAATATGCACAAGAGGCAGCACATCACATGAACGCTCCGTTCGATTGCATCACCTCGGGGCCAGCGTTGCCCGCTACAGTAGCCATTGGAAATGCTAGACCACTGTAAGCTGTTGGGTTCCTTTGCCGAGGCTTCTTTTGGCTTGCAAGCCCGGTCATGTAAGAGAGTCAGTTGAGTCAGGCAGGTGCGAAGGCTGTGAGATCTGCACCGAAATCGCACCGGAAGGTCCTGGCTGCTTACGAGTTGAAGGCAAGCCTCGGGCGAGGAGGTGTCGGCCGTGTGGTGCAGGCTTCACAGCTTCGCATTCGTTTCGGCATCACATCGTATAGCTGGGACTTGGGAATCCTCTCTGAGGCAGCCTGCCGGCGAACACAGATCACCAGAGCTGTCAAGATCACCAGCCAAAAGTCTGATCCGTCAGGTGGCAGAAATCGTGGCTGATCCTTGAACATGCTTGTCTCCACGGAAGGTTTCGAGGTGTCTTTGATGAGCAAGTTGGACCATCCGAATGTCGTGCGTCTCTTCGAGACCTTCGTTGAGGTTCAGCTTGTCCACGGTTCTTCGTGTGCAGCTCGTGCAGTGATGACAGGAGTCCCAAGGCCAGATACACTTGGTCATGGAGCTTTGCAAAGGCCGCACTCAAATCCCTAGCCGCCTAGCCGTGAGCCGGCGTGAGAGCTTCGAGCTGTGGCGAGAAAGGAGGTGCGTTGCCCAGCTATGCCCGGGAGTTCTGGCCACCCCTGGAAGAGGCCCGAGAACAGCCGGGTCTGGCCCGAAGCGGCCATCGTGCGAGTGATGTGTCGTTCAGGCTGCGGGGGCTGTGATCATGCACCGTCCTTGGGCAGGGACGTCGTCGTGTGCCTCCATGTGATTGCGCTTGCCACAGAGTGCGTGCACTTGCCCAGGTGGCAGTTGCTGGGGGCGGTGAACTACCTCCACAAACAGTCGCTGAGCCACGGGGACATCTGCCCTGCCAACGTTCTCTGGAGAAGACAGCATGCAGATGCATGCCTTGTGGCTTTGTGGTCACGCAGTGTCCAATTTCTGAGGTCCTTATGCTCCACTTCGACCGACCGCCTGAGCAGAACGTGGGGCGCAGAGTCTAAGCGCCCACGGGAAAAGTTCAGCGCCTCCGCTCGGAGCCTCTGAGGTCACGAAGCTCATCGACTTCGGAGCGCACGCCGGGCGTCGGACGCACGATCTTCCTTCCTCTGGCTTGGTCATGAGAGTGGCTTGCCATGGCTTGCCGGTTACAGCGCGGCTGCTCTTCCCGCTGCGTCCTTTGTCTGCAGGCTTTGCTGGGCTGGTGCTCCGGAATGAAGGGTGCCTCTCTGAGAGAAGCCCCCGTGATGAAGAAGGTGGGCGTTTCTCTGGCTGCCCTCAGTCCTCAGTCGTCTTTGAAAGAGTGATTTGTAAAGCGCTGCCAATGCTTTCCCTGGTCGCTACTGCTAAGCCGCTGGCCCCGGCTCCGTTTCCCTGTCTGTCATGTGAGGGCCAAGCGGCGGTCTACAGCGAAGGGGGCCTCGGTGTGCCCATCAGCAAGGCCGCGGCAGAGCTCCTCGCGCGCTTCGCAGGCCCGGGGAGGGGTGGGGGGAAAGACGGGAAAGAGAGAGAGTGTTCCTTGTAGCCATTTTGGCTCAAGCCATGAGCGGTTCAAGAGGACGCCCCCAGCGACCAGGCCTCTGAACCCGGGCGACTTCGGATTGAGTTGCCCTGTCTTTGCAGCCATCCGAGCTCGCCTACCACCTTGCTGTGCTTTGCCTGTCCCGCAAGTACGGTGGCATCGGAGCACCAGGTGATCGGCGCCTGGTAGCGAGCGGGGAAGTCTAACACTTATACTGCTGTCTGCCTACCTAGCACTTTTGAGCTAGGTTCGCCCTAGGTGCCTAGGAGCCTTAACTCTGTTGCACTGCTGCGAGCAGTAGCTTTTGCGAGACATTCTTGTCTAGCACGGGGATGGCTTTTCGAAAAACCCAGTGCAGACGAAGTGTCACACCAGGTGTCCCAAAGTTTGCACTGTAGGGGAGCATGTCGTGGGTTGCCAGTTGCCAGGCCGTAAACAAGATATCATACCGTGTCTTCTTAGCATCGTAGATGTCATACCGTATTCCTTGTCGCATCGCAGATATCATATCCAAACATGTCGCCCACGACTAGAGAGTCCCACAACTTCTCACGTCCCCACAAGCCCCATAACAAATGGGGGGGCACTAGGCCGGGGGACCTCAACCGTCCCCCATGCTCAGTGAAAGAAAGAGAGCGAGAGAAGCGAGAGAGGGAGACAGCGGGAGAGAGGAGAGGGGGAGAGAGCGAGAGAGACATAGATGGAGATGAGAGGGCTGCTCGACTCGACTTGGAGCGATGTCTTTGTCTAGGCTCCGAGACCGACGCGGCGTTCACTGCTGAAAAGGCCCTGTGCCACACCTGGTTCATCCGCACAAGGCCGGAAGAGGGAAGCTCTGTGACTGGCTTCCTCCTCCTGACTTGTCAGGCACGGAGAAGTTCCACTGCGCAAGGCGACTTCTAAGAGAGGCGGCGGGGGAGGTCCCTTGTGCAAGTAGCTGGCCGATGAGTTTTTGGGTGCCAGGTGCGAGGAATGAGCCCGAGGCCAGCACGCCAAGAGAGGCAGGCTCACGTGGCAAAAAAGACCAAGAAGGTGGTAGCCGCTTGACTGCAAGTAGAGATGACATCCAATGCGCCGCTGTGCTGACTTTGACGCATACATGTTAAGGACGAGACAGGAACAAAGAGACCAAGCCGAGGAGTGAGCGAGCAAGGGAAGAGCCTGAGCGTCTGTGGTTTTGCATTCGCGGAAATGGGGTTTCGCAAGGAGCGAGAAGAAGGGCGACGGAAGTCGTAGCCTCGGAAGGGGCGAGAGCTCTACGGGCAATCGGAAGCATTTAGCACTTGGAGCAGTGGAAGAAAAGCCCGTGACAGCTGCAGGGCCCGGACCCAAGCCGCTCCCGCTTGTCTCTTTTTGTAAGAGCCCTGCTGCGCAGGTGGTGGGGTTCGCAAGCGGAACTCCCGCAGAACTTCGTGGCACGGCTGCGCGCTTTCTGCACCGTCAGCAGTGTCTCCAGGGCCATTCTACTGGTGGCGGCCGACTGCTTGGAGGAGGAAAGGCCCAAGGTGGCCAGGCGGGCCTGGAGCGAAGCAACTCCAGGAAGCCCTGGCGCCACTGCGGGCGGCCTTCCAGCGCTTGGACGGCTGGTGCCCGGACGGCCTGCTGACCGTGGCGGCCCTGAGTGACCCCAGAAAGAGTGAAGCCAGCAATCTGAGCATCTGAGCATCTGAGGAGGAGGACCTGAGGCACCGGCTTCCAAAGTTGGGCTGCCAGCTCCACAGCCTCTCCCGGCAAATCGCCCAAAAGCAGCCTTTACTTGATCTCGCTCAGGCAAGGATGCCCCAAAGGACTTGGACCGCTTGCTTCTGGAGGCAGCTCCGCACAGGGGACGGCCATGCCTTGCGAGAACCCGTGTCCGGGCTACTGTACGCGGAGACCCGACAAGAGCTGCCAGCATCAACGTGAAATGGACGAAGCATGACTCGCATGCTTTGTGCATGCAGCTTGCGGCAACAAGAAGGACGTCGGAGCTGAAATGGAGAGAGAGAGAGTGAGTGAGTGAGTGAGTTTTCGGAACAAGGACACGCCTTGTCTCCTTCAAAGCTGCATCCTTAAGGTTGAGCGAGTGGCGCATTCAACGCCCCAGCCTTTGGAGCTTTATAAGCCACTGCCTTACACGAAGGCGGCGTAGGTACGGCTGAAGCATGGCGAAGCGGTCTCTTAGCCATGTGGCCCACAGAAGTACCACCCATCACTCAGACTTCAGCCTCATCCGCCGGGGTCGCGACTCCTATAGGGCCTAATCCAAGCATATCTGCTTCAGCTGATGAGTCCACTGAGTCCAGGCTACCGACAAGGCCCCAGTGCCTGTAGCGCAGTTTCTGACCACGGTCTTGCCTTCAATCAATATTAGCCTTCTCCGTGCCACGAAGTGCGACATGTGCATGTGTATGGCCGCAACAGCGAATCAAGCGCAGGTCCTCAAGGCTCACCAAACGTGTGGCTTTCCTATGTTCATGGCACCGTTCTGACACAAGGATCTGCAAGCGCGGATCCCGGCCTGCTACCTCCAAAGCCGTTTGAGATGGAGCCGGGCTCACTGTGCAAGGGGTCCCATGCTGCGCAGTTGCGGACAGTCCGGCAGAACCGCAGAAGAAGAAGTTGAGCTTGCCGCCGCCCTTATCGCGGCGGAACAGCAAGGAGTGGAAGGACCATGGCTTGGCCATGATCCTTAGCCTCCCCTGCAGGAGTGTCAAGCCTGACAGCCAAGAAAACCTCGCCAGACCAAAGCAAGAGCGAGAAGGTGAGCCTAGAGCCCTCCCCACCACCCCACCACCCCCCAACAGACCCGGAGCCCACCAGAGGAAAAGGAGAGAAAACATGAGACAGGGGAGCGAGCCACAAGAGCATCAAGCAAGCCCCCCCCCCACGCACAAGTGTTGACAAACCCTAGACATGATCACGGCCATGTCGCCGCCGAACCCATCTAACACTCGATCTCCCTTCACATTGATGTGTTGCCATGATCCTTGCCAAGGCCCAGCGATTGTCAAATTCCAACGCAGAGGATCATACAGGTCCGTGTCCCACCGAAGTCATTGAAAAGGAGTCGGTGACCTAAGGCGCAGTGATCGTCGGCCGTTGAAGAGCAGGCTGTTACAGTATACTCCTCGATGGCCTTGGCTCGCCTCGCGTAAGCCGTCCAGTGCCCCCCAGCATTGGGAGCACTACCCGTCACTACTCGGAAAGCCCAAAGGTCCACGTGTAGAAATGGACTCCCTAAAATCGAACACGGAAGTCTGGTATTTGTTTATATTTGTTTGCAACCGGTTCCGGCTGATCGGGAGCTAGGTGTGTGTGTCGTCTAAAGTACCCGACCCTTGCCAAGGACCCCATCAAGCATTCGGTATTGTTTGCGGCATTGTTTGTCAGATTGCAGTTCGAGCACGCAGATGAGATCGATGACGGCTTTTCGCTGCTCACACAGCTGAACTGCCGGCAATTCGAAATGACGATGCTGAAGAATCCCAATACTCGTGTACATGTTCTCCCAGTGCCCTTGGTTCACATGCATGCCCAGCAGCTTGGGAGTAGCTCACGTGACGAAAAACACTCGAGCGGGGAGTTTGCAGAGGCCACGGCAGCGCCACGACCCATGGCTGAACCATATAAGAGCTTTCATGCCCTGCTCAGCCGGCTTTTGACACTGGATGCTTTCCAAAGCAGGATTGGCCTTGCGAACAGCGAGGCGCGCTCACACACCGGCAGTACAGCAACTTGCCGAAGAGCTCTACGTGCGTTGTGAATTCCTCCTTTAGCCAAACGGACCCACCGGGTCGTTTTCGGCAAATTCACCGCCCAGGAACCGGGCTACTTTGCAATTTCTCCGAGCTCGAGTGCAGACGATACTCTGCAGCCCAAATGACGGACAAAGGCTCGAACTACTCCGGACGCCACGGAGCTGTCTGCTCCGCTGCAACTTTGAGCCTTCAAGGTCACGCAAAGGACACTGGGACAGCCCAGCACTTTGAGACCTGGGCTACGTCAAAAGGCAGAGAAACGCGCGACCCCCAAGAATCTGGACAGGACAATGATGGTGCGCGTGACGCAATTGGTTAGATGCCGCAATTCCTTCCATGGGGGCCTGGCCTACCTTGTCTTAAAGTCGTTGGGCTACTGATGTGAACAGGCCCCAAAGCCAATTTCCTTCCGGCAAAGGCAGCTTCTGGGTTTAGCTGGCCGGATGCAAAGGCGCAGAAGAATTCGCCTATGCCTTCGCGTTGGACGAAGAGCAATTGGAAACAGTTGCAGTTAACGCGTTCGTGCATCAGAATGCTTTAGACGTCGTGGGGCCCACATCGGTGACTTCTTGACGTGGGAGCCGCCACGAGAACGGGGAAGTATGATGATTCAGTGCTAGTGACTAGTGTTTGCCGAAGCGGACCGCGTGTTGCTTACAGATGCCATGAAGCTCTACATGGAAAAGGCGTTTGACTCCCGCTTCAGTCGTCGTTGATGTTGGCTAGGTACGAAAAGTTGATGACACAAGCGGCTCCGAAGCTTGGTTGCAAATCTGCTTACGGCATGCCCTCGAGACATGCTGGAGCATCAAACGAAGCCTTCCATCGGCGGCGACCGCTGCCATGCTCTGTGAAAACGATGGGCCCTAGAGCAACACCACCAACACATGATGGCACAGCGAGAAGAAAAAGACGAGGAAATAACGGCTGGAATGAAACTGGCCCGCTGAGAGCATAGGGGCTCCGAAGGCCGGAAACCACGCGTCCGGACGTGTGTGCAGGCCGACGTCGATGGGGTGGGGCTGCTGGACTACACCACTTTCCTCGCCATTGCCATGGGTGCTCAGGAACGGAGTGGAGAGAGCGGAGAGAAGCGGAGGCCGGTGCACTGGAGGTGCTCTCCAGCGAACTTGGCCAAAGAGTCTTCAATGTTCTCGACCGAGACCAGGCCAGAACGCGAGGCCGCAAGCGTGGTCCTGCGACTGACTTGAGACTCAGGACGGCATCATCTCAATGGCTGATCTGGCTGCTTTCCTGGGCCGTGACGAGGCCCTTTCGAGTCGTCGAGACTGGGTTACTTTGCCACTGCCTTTGCGCAATGCAGCAATGCAGGACGAGACACAGCTGTCATCCGGGCTTGCGCCATTGACCTTCGAAGGCGCAGTCGCTGCAGCCAGCTGTGCACTCTTGACAGTGGCGATTTGGAAGTCTCCCTCCATCGCCACAGGTTTCCAGACACTTCTGACAGACTTGGCCAAGCGCCAGGAAAACTTCGGACAACCCTTGTGGCTTGGCTGAGGGGCCTTCGAATGTTTTGCCAGCCTCAATCCATTTCGCATACTGAGTTTGATTGCTTTTGTTTGTTTGTTTGCTGGCTTGCTTCTCGCTTGTTGCCTTCTCCTGCAGCCTTGCATAACTTGTGGTGAAGAACAACACCCCTGTGAGTGCAGTAAGAAATGTCGTCTTGTTAGAATGCATTGAAAGACAATGTTTTCACCATTACGTAGCATGTAAATCCTTTTGTATGCTCGCACGGGAAGTGAAGGTTATTGTTGTTGGGCATTTCATCCCATAAGATGTTGGCGCTTTCTTAAACGGGCTGTTTCCTTTACCAATTATGTTTTTCCATTGGCGCATTTCCCTTGCTATGCTCTTCTTTCATACCCATTTAAACTTGATAGTTTCGTGCGTGTTCGCTTTTCAGCCTTACTCAAGCGCTCCTTGATGTTATTCTCTTGTTCCATCGCTCTCATCATTTCAATCTCAGCGCAGCCATGATGCGAGACAAGATTATCTATTCTAGCAATTCAGGGACAGTTTACCCTATCTAAAGTTTTCGGGTTTAGATTTTTACACTTCACACTGGCCATAATCTAGGATGGCCATAGTTCCTACTGTTACAGGTCGGTCTGTCTTCGAGAAGATTTCATTCCCAACAGTACTTTTATGTCTCATGTATTTTTATGTAAACCTTCAAGAGCAGAAGATATATACATATAACACATATGTCTGTGATGAGCATGTCTTCAGGCACCCTCGGGGGAAGGCGTCGGTGGTGAGCTCCCCCTTGACTGACCCTGGTCTTCCCCTCCGGTCTTGTCGCTGCTCCCCTCCCTTGCCTCTTGCCCCCCTTGACGCACTGTCCTGATTGCACTGTCATTGACCTTTCCTTGCACTGGCCCAGGACTTAAGTTATTGAAGGTATACAAGTTGTCTAAATTGCTTCATTCCGGCCCCCCAAATAAACAAGTTGAGGAACTTGAAAACGATTAGTTGTTTACGTCCAAGTTGGCTTTGCGTCAAAGCTTGTGGCCAGCTTTCCAAAATGCAGCTCACGGCCCAGTCGGAATGCTCCGGGCAAGCTCCGGCACCATCCTTTCGCTGGGAGACACAGCAGCTGGGTTGGAGGGTTCCCGCTCCCACTCTGCTAGTTGAGCTAGGCGGAACGCTTGGAGATATCATGCGCGACACGGGGATCTTTCGTTACGCCAGGGCGGCGCCGTAGGGCGTTGGTGATTCACTGAGGTCGGAGGTGCAGCACGTCTTGTCCTCTGCAGCTGTGGAGCGGCTTCAAGTGGCAATGGAAACGGTTTCAGGACTGATCGCAATGTTTTCGTTTGTCTTTCCCCGTCTCGATGTCAGGACTGGCTTTTGGTGAACGATCTGAAATCATCAAGGCGCGAGGCAGGCGAGGCAGGCGAGGCAGGCGGTGTGAGAGCCACTCTTGCCATATGCCGGACTTAGGCCAAGCGCCGCATTGCGGATGCTGCAGCGAAAAAGCGCCTGAAGCTTTGGAAGATCCAAGTCCGCCGCACCCACAATCACCCACATGCTTCCAGGCCTAGCCACGGAAGAGCGGCGCCGAAAAGAGAAGTCGAGGTCACGGCGAAGGAGCAGCAAGCGAGGGAGACGGAGAGACAGAGTTTCGACAATCCCGCACAACGATTCATCCGAGACTCCGGCAGGGTACACACTGTGCGGGGTTCGCCACGTAGCTTTCTGGGACAAGGCACCCCACGTCACCGCACCAACGTCAACCGAGCTAGCACGCTCCGTCATGTCCTCATTCACTTTGTTGAAACATTGCAAACGAGCTCATCGCTGAGTGAAGTAGTAATTTTATCACCTAAGCCTATATGCTCACGATGCCCATGCATCGACCAGCTTGTGTATGCGCAGCGCGACCCTTATAGTGTGTGCGCATGTGTCCATCTATTCATTTGACTTTGCACTGATTTCGAGGATCTCGAATTGCTTCCCCCCCTGCTCGGCCCTGTGTATGTGCTTGTTTCGACCTGGCTTCAAACATTGGTAGTCATCCACTGCTGACGTTTTCCTATGAAGCTTCCCAGGTGATTCGCGAACAGAAACGCCAACACTGAAGCAGGATTCTATAAACAGCTTCAACCAAGACTCGTGTCGTTTACCAAAAACACTTTCTGGCGTGCCAACCCCAAAACACCCTCAGATAGGCTCGTGTGGACAGGGAAAAGCCTTTCTGGCGCCAGAGCACCCTAGTTGGCTCCCTTGGCGGCCTTAAGATCGATGTCTTTTGGTGGGCTCCGCCTGGATTGAGGCTGGTGTAGCCTCCCCCCTCCTCGAACCCTCCGTTCAGGTACGAGGACCTTGATTTCATTGACAAGCTCCACGGAATCATCCGAGTCCGCCGGATAGGGCTTGATGTGCACTGAAGTCGTGTAGGAGCAGTCACTGGGTCGGACCACTCGTCCACTTCGAACGTCATTGGAATATATTGGAATATCCAACAAAAACACCCTCCTTCCAGCGCTCCTGTAGATGATGACGGCCTCCTTCACCAAATCGCTTGTGCTTGATGCGAGCGTGAGCTCCGAAAGAAACGAAAGGTCTTTGTCTTCCAAGTTTCCCAACGCCCAAGGCCAGATCCCTTCGGCGACATGCCAAGAACTCTTGCTAAACCCGAATAACGGGCCCACCAAGACCACCGCCCCAGCTGAATGCTGTCGGGAGAAAAGCCAGGTGTTTAGATGCCGGGCCCATTCACAGGATGTGGTCCTCGTCATGGCTACATAGCCACGGGTGTCACGGGAGAGTATCCCGTGGAGGGAGCGCAGAAGGAGGGCTGCTGCCAGAGAGCGTTTTTTTCAAGTCTATGCAGGAAAGTCTTGCCTTTGGAGGGCCTTGGCCAGCCTGATGTGCGTGCAGAGGCGCTTTTTGCACTTCTTTCGCTCAAAGCATTCTGCCTTCTGCCGCTCCGTCGCCAAGGCAGACCCTGTCGCGATGAGCCTTCTCGTGGAAGACAGCAGTGCCCCGTTCATGCATTGTGAGGGCAGACGATGCAATTTTTGTGGCTCTCAGCAAAGTAGAAGTGCAAGCAGGCGACGGCGATGGCGGCGACGGCGGGGAGGGTGATTCATCCTCCGAGCCCTCTCAAGCGCCGTCGCGCGCCTCGCATTCGGATGTGGGAAGCCGTTCAGGGGCCACAGGGGCCACCAGCACCCCAAGCGACCCGGTCTTCGAAAGAGACAGAGAGTCAGAGTCGGAGCCCGGGCTCCGACCTGAAACTTTTCCTCGTCCTCGCCGTCGTGAAACCCAACGCCTCAGGGTGAGTTTGTAGCACCTCGTAGCTTCGTAGCCGTTTCACCAGCTGTCGCAGCCTCCGCATGATCTTCGCGGCGGAAACACCATGCGGGTATCAGCCGTGCACGCGGACTGCTGCGGACTTAAGTGCTAGAGCGCTGCAAGCTGTCGGTTATGGGTCGAGGCAAGGTGGTACTGCCATAGCTGCTGAAAGTGGTGTGCAAAAGACCCGTTCAGCCTGTTCACAGCTCCGGACACAAAACCCGGCCTCGTATACGTGTTGCGCATCTCGGTCTCTGCTAGTATCTGCATACGACACGATTCCGGACATATGCTTGTGCAGATTGTGAACTGTACCTTTAGACGCATTCGGTGGAACTTGGTTGCCATGCGGCGCCGTAATGAGGGGTTGGCCTAATCTGAGGTCACTGGGAGGGACGCAGTGAGATACAAGTCAGGCAGGGGTTCTCGGGCTAGGGACGCTAGGGCGATATGATATCGAGGACACAGGACGCGGTGAGGCGCTGGCCACGAGCGTCGGTTGCGCGCCGCTGGCTGAACTTCTGCTAGTCACATGTTGAGGCAACCTGGCAGAAGCAGGACTCCTATGCCTTGGGTGCCCGTGCAGCCGCGCAGCAATGTGCAGCACAGGTTTCGTGAATGGCAACCTTGTAACCTCACTTAGCGGACCTGGGCTGCTCTCCAACTCGCCATGCTTGTGATGCGGGAGGGGGCCGCTCAAGTGATTTATGATCTGATGTGATCTGACCGCGGTTTTGGCTTGGGGAGTAGGGCGACGGAGACGAGGGAGGAGCAATGAAGCGGCCGCGAGCTGAGGGCGGAAGCATTCGGCGTGTGTCTCTGTACAAGAAGCGGCTTATGAAGCGCATGCGACGCGACGCGACGCCGAGGCTGTCGCCCGCGAAGCTATGCAGCCAGACCGATGCCTGCATTTCTGCCTGCTTGGAGACTCCGGGATCGGGCAATCGGCGTTTCTGCAATGCTACAAGCACGCCTTGAACCTCACTGGTGCAAGCAAGGAGACCCCAGCTCTGAACGTGTCCTCTATGATGTCTCTCTTCGCCAAAGGACTTCGCCAAGCATTCCGAACCCTTCGATGAACTACCCAACCTGGAGAGTATGGCAGAGCCCTCAGTCAGCAGCAGAGCATCGCAGAGCCACCGCCTGCAGCCAGCGCCTGCAGGTGGCGATGGTGGAGCTGGAGGGGGAGCTGTGCCGCGTGCGCTTCACGGACGGAGCCGCAAGCTGTGGGCTCATCGCTTTGGCCGCTTTGGGCCCGGCCCTTACTTTGGACCCTTTGCGCCCTGTTTTGGCGGAGGCCCGAGATTCGAGAAGATGCAGCATGCTGCGATCCATGCTTCGCACGTACAGCTCTTGATGGGACAAGGGGAGCGCGGGCTCATCATGAGCAGAGTTGTAAGGTCATCTTGCTGTGTTTTCGACCAGACAAACCGGAGACCATGGCCAGCGTCAAGAAGAAGTGGTTGCAGCGGCCTCGTAGTTTCCGTAGCTCCTGGCGGGGCGCCACCGTCGGCTGCAGGCCGCTGCTCTGGCAGATTCGCTCCGAGACTCCTTGGCTGCTCGTCTCCTTGCAGACGGACCTGCGCGAGCGCTCCAAGGCGACACACGGCGACACACGGCGACACAGCAATGGACGCAGTTGCGCAACGCAGCGAAATCGCAATGTCCCGGTCAGGTGGCGGGAGATCAACTGCCCATGGCTACCTGGCAGCAGGGGGATCTTAGATGATCTTCCAGCGGTCCCAAGGGCGCTGGCTCTTCAGCTTATAAGGTGGCCGCGGAAGAAGCCGAAGCCTTCGTCCAAAGTGTGCGAGCTCAGTTCCGTGGCTTGGGGCCGCTTTTGTTTGGGACGTCGCTCACGAGCCGAGCTTGCAGGATATGGCGGCTGGGGATATATGGAGTGCTCCGCTTTCTTCCCTGACACCGTCCAATTGGTTGTGGACGAAGCACTGAATGCCGCGAACTCCTACTACGGGCCGTGTCCCGAGATTCCCGCGTCCATCTGCGCAGCTCCCGCTCAGAAAATCTCAGGCTGCAGTGGCAGCTGCTTCCTCCGCATGTTCCAGAGCCGTCCCACAGCCCAGTTTAGGGGTGCGAGCGCGGGTGCTGCTAGAGCAAGTGCGACTGCGAGTGCGAGAGGAGCGACGGGGAAGCGAAGCCGTGCTGGACAGCTGCTCCGGTGCCGGGGGAGATGGATCTGCAACTTGGCCGCCGAGCAGGGCCACGTCTCAGTGCCGGTTGCCGTTTGCACAGGTGGCTGCCTCACGAGACCTTAACTGTGCGGGACGACCCCGTGCCAGTCACAGAGGAGCGGAGCCTAGCGGAGCCTAGCGACTCTCGCACTCGCAGAGTCGCAGACCGCCTGTGCTGCTCCAGGAACAGGTTCGTGAGGGTTTGTCGCAGTTGGGCGACACGGGAACCCGGCAACACGCCTACGTCCGGCTGGACCCTTGAGACGGCCCTCGGTGGCCCTCGGCCTCCGCAGGCCGTGATGCTTTGCTGCTTTGCCTTTTTTTGCGAGGTGCGATCTCGCCGGCATGAACCTCACCTCCTTGGTGAAGATCCGGCAATGGGAGCAGCTGCAGTTTCTGAACGCGGCGAGCTCTGATCACTGCTCTGCTCTGCTCCACCCCTCTTCACCGAGCTGCTTTTGTCCGGCTTTTTCACTCGACAAAAGCGCCTCACTCTGTGTCTCCTCCCCTCTACGTTGGGGGACCGTTTTTGTGCCATGGTTTTTGTTTGGGCGGCGGGGGGGCGGGGGGGCGGGCCCGGTTGGGGGCGGACGGGCGTTTCTAAGAAAGACAAAGCGAACGACCAAGCAAGACGGAGAGAGAGAGAGAGAGAGACAGAGTAGACTCAGAGAGAGAGAGTAGAAGAAGACAGAGAAAGAAGCTAAGAAGCAACAAAAACCCCGAAACAGGGCTCTCGCGGCTCGACAGACGCGGGCGCTTTTCTGGGGTCGGCCTTCGGCTCCCATGCCCCCAAAGGCAAAGGCAAAAGAAAGAAGGAGACAAAAAGGATAAGAAAGAGACAAGGAATTCATGAACGAAGTGAACGAAGGACAGATGGAAAACGAAAGACAGAAAAAAAAATGATTCTCAGCTCAACGAAATAAAGACGTAGCGAAAGAGATATCTAACGAAAGACAGAAAGAAGAACGCACAGCAATAATGAACGACATAAAGAAAGAAACAACATGGTAAACAAAGCAAGACCCTCCAGCTTTGTCAGAACCCTCCTGCTTCCATCAAGACCAATGATGAGAGCAGCAAGGCTGTGCATACTAACCAATGAATAGTATACACATAGTAAACACAGATGTAGTACACTATGATTTAGAATGGCCTTATGCGATTTAATATAAACATATAATCCCTTCCCCTTAAGTCCCCCCTAATATTAAAACTGCCACCCCCCCCCCCGGAAATTTATGGTTTTGGGCCTACAGTTGAAAGTTGATTAAAAACATTAGGGGGG